TGTGCAAAGGGGAGTATGAGTTTGGGTACATGGCATGATGGTTTCTGCCACAGAATAGCTAGTGGGAACCTTAGGCACAGCACAAGATCAACACGAAGAAGCAGAGACCTTTGAAAGAGTCCCCAAGTCACTCAGTCATAACTACAGCTTTTCCATGAGAGACCAGAAAAAAAATGGGTGACAGAAGAGGGTGACCTTGAAGGCACCGGGATATTGTAGTGTTACCTTCCAGGCCTCCAATGCATCCCCACCCTCTTGTGTGTTAATACAATTGTCTGCCTGGACAGCAGTCAATAAAATCCTTCGAAAAAGACTCTCTTTGCATGTGGGAAAGAAGTACACAGTTCAGCAGCATCCTCCCCATCATTCTAGAAGCACATCTGGCAAAGTAGAGAGAATGTTAAACATACTGTTCCCCAAAGACACAAAGATGAACAGTTCCAGAAAAATGCAGCTATTGCTAGCAACAATATGTTAAGGCATTTTATTATTTAGTTACAACTTGCCTGAACATGAAAAAGATATTAGCATACTGTCAGCTTACTAGAACATAACCCAAAATAACTTACATTTTTTTATATATTGCTAATTATTTTTCTGAGGCTGGCTCAGGCTGGTACAAGAGAGATTTCAAGGCTTTCACCAGATTATTTACTTATAGAAGTTAAGCATGCCATTATCTGTTCCCATAGAAACCTGCTAAGTAATACAGGAGATGGAAGAGGAGGTCACTTTAACCATAATTAATATAAAGAATAATAGTTTATGTAGGATCTGGTAAAGGATACAATGAGATGCTGTATAATTAAACCTTTCCCTCAGCAATGCACTTTAATCTCTGCATCAATTTTCACACACTAGTGTCACTTTGATAGTTTAACTAGTTCAATGTTCATTCTCAAAATGTTATATAATTTGCCTAGCAGGATTTTTCCAATATTTTATTGTACTTTTGGTTCAGACAATTCCAGTATCCAGAATTTTCTAAAGGCTTTACTCTTCTTGAGATGGTATGACTTCTTGGCATGGTGGGTTGGGGCACTAACATAATTATCCAACACCACCCCACTAGAGTCAGTAGTGCCTTTGAAATGAACAAATGCAGGTTTAATTCTGATCAGTATCCTTTAAAGATAGGTGATTGTGTTGTATTCCTTTTAAAATTGAAAATTAGTAATCCACATGGGATGGCTCTTTGTTAGAGATTTCATTTATTGGAACACGACACATTCACTGAATATTCTTATCCAAAGATACACACTGTCGTTCACTTTAATCCTTATGCTTATTTGAATTGTGGATTTCTCACAGTCTCTTAAGGGCAAATGTTATTGCGGAAGTTTGATGACACATTTATCAAAACAGTTTAATTTAGTGCAGTGTCCCAGAAAGATATCAAATCAGAAAAGAAGAAAAATGAGTTGACCTTTCAAGATTCTGAGGGTTTTTTAGCACAACAAGAAATGACAGTATGTCAGGAATTAGAATTTTTTTTTCTTCTGGAGTTCTAGTCCAAGAAATATAGCAGAGCCTGGTCCAGGCAGCCTGGTCAAAGGGATAGATTTGGGACTGCTGGATAATGTTCACAAACAGGAAACAGGTGGCCTAAAGTTAAGTGATGTCAATGTACAATTTCTCACTCTTTAGAAAATAACCACCTTGCTACCACATGAATGAGTACGGGCTTTTTTTTTTTTTTTTTTTAAATATCAAGCCTGAAATTATTTAATCAGGAATGTAAATCAGTTACGTGCCCTAATTACAAAGACGGTGATAGGTTGGTTACGGGATTTTTGGGGGTGGGGGATGGTTACAGCTGTTTCCTCTCTTTCCTTCTTTTTATAACAAATTGATAACACATTCCTATTCCAGGAGCACACCCAAAACTATGTCCTGCTTGGCAAGCACAGTGGTCATGGCTTAGCGAAGAGTAAGACCTCTCAGCTGGACCATTCCATAGGCTCATAGGAGAACCCCGAAAATAATAGATGGCACTTTCTCTGTATGTATTTATGTTCAGATAATTTATTTAAATAATGTTTCTGGCACATGCTTTATAGCTGCTTACATTTTGCTACACAGATTTCAGCATATCTTGCAGACTATGCAATTCTTTTGGAAAATGTAATTTCCATCCCTGCATACTAATCGATTTCTTCACAAACACCTGCTATCAGTTATGATAATAAAAATGCCACCCAGAATTGAAAAGGGACCAAATAGAGCTTCCTAAGGAAATGACTTAAGTGTCTTTGAATGTTACTAAATGTAATAATGTGCTCATGTAGTGCCAATACTTTCTTCATCGTTTGCATCTTTGGTGATTTGGCCCTGTTAAAACATCCCTCTTTCAAATGATGCCTCATAACCATTGCCTTGTGGATTGATGAGCTGAGTTGTCAGGAGCTGATGTCTCAGTGTAGGCAAGATCTGAGGTTGGGCTATGCAATGGTTTTAAATGCCAACTCATGTTCCTAGTAATCCCTGGGTCATTTCTGATTTTGTAACTCCCCAGGAAGTATAAAATTGCCTGCTCCTTAGCTTTGCACACCCATATATACCAAATAAAATTCCCTTTATTTGTTCTCTTCAGCCTCCACTTCATTCCACACACCATTGCCAAACTAATCTTCCTAAATGTTTGATTTTTATCATGTCCTTCCACTACCCAAACACCTTCAGCTGTTCTCACCCAGACACCGTTGAGCCTAAACTTCTCTGTACCACTTCCAGCAGACATTTGTCTTTTGATCGAGATTCTCTCGTTCTTGCCTGAAATGGTCTCCCCTCTAACTGTCATGTCTGGCCTTTTGCTTATGATTTTGCTCCTGACTAAGAGATCCTTCCCCATTTCTAAGGTTTTGTACTTTCCAAAGTTCACTTTTATTCTACCATTCTGCCTTTTTGTTTTCTAAACTCCTATACTATGTATTTTCTTGTTATGTACCTTGATGTTAAGTTGCTCCTTCATTTATCCAATGAACATGTATTGGGTACTGTGTGTCAGGTACTATTCTGCTCTTTCTTCCTTTGAATGTATAGTTTCCTTTTAAATATGTCAGTTTCCCTTACATTTCCATAGAAACTAGGAGAAATGGCATAGTCTGTGTTCTGTTTTGTGATCTAAGATACCCAGACAGACCTGGGCATAGTGAAGTATTCAGTGAATGCTTGTTGACTAATTGATCCCTAATGGTTTGATGCTGGGAGTTTTCTGGTTAATTGCATGTTCTGTTTGATTAGTATTTCAGTGTGTACTATAGATAGATTATCATTTTGCAAAGTGGGATACTGTAAAGCTATTATTAACATAATTTAATGTTTGATATTTGCAGAGAGAATTTACTGAGGTCTCGGAGCACCTCAGTGAAACTCTGTGATCACTGTGCTGCAGTGATGAACAGGTGGAGCCTACAGGTCCCTGACCTCAGTCTGGTCCTAGGACATGGGGAATGGCAGGTGGGGCATGGGAATGAGCACGTGGGCTCCATACCACACCCCTACATGACAGAAAGTAATTCTATGAAGGTCTTTCTAATAACAAACTTTCACTTTAAAAAAATTTTTTTTTCCTTTTCTGTTCTCTTTCAAAAGTGGAGAATGACTTTTCCATAGGGGGAGAAAAACAATGGGATAGCATTCAGAGAGTACAGGGAGACATCTTTTGAACAGTTGTTAAGAACTAAACCCCCAGCCTGGTATGGTGGCACACACCTTTAATCCCAACCCTTTCGAGGCAGAGGCAGGCAAACCAGTCTCTGAGACTGAGGTCAACATGGTCTACATAGTGAGTTCCAGGCCAGCTGGAGCTACAAGGAGACCCTGTCTAAAAATAACAACAACCACGATAACAAAATAATGAAACCTTAATGAACTGACATAGACAGTGATCAAGGGGGCAATGATTCCACACCTAGCACCTGGGTTTGCAGATGTTTCTGTTACCTTGACCAAACAAGGTAACTACCTTCTCTGTGTCTTATGACTCTCATCTGTAGAAGTGGGGATCAGTATCCTGAGGGGGAGACTCAGTGGGTTAGTTTATACTAAGAAGCCCCTGATCTAGGGGACCTTACTGTGGGATTGCCCAGCACACCCAAGACATTGTTATTAATGCAGAGACCACAAAGCATGAAGAAAGAAACATCTTTTGTTCCATATTTTGTAACATTCTGTTGTTCAGTTTTAGCTAGTTCTGGAGCCTTGAGGAGTGTAAGACCCTGAGTAGACTGCCTTTATTTCTCAGCAAGGAGATGCCAGATGATACAAATTAAGTCTGAGAATTTCAGGTTTCAGGGAAGAGTAACAGCTCAGCTTTGTAGGGGAAAAAAAAAAAGAATTTTAATCTGTTGGTGAAGCAGGTGGAACTAGGTTGCCATTCTAATAGGAGTTAGAGAAAACAATTTGTGCAATTTGTCCCAGCAATAGAGCAGGAAGGAGTGGTGTGCATAGCAATTCCTCTCTCCCCCGGGAGACTGCTGTATGCCTCAACCTGGGAACAGTCAGTTATTTGAAAGAAAGCAGCACTCCACAGAGCTGAGCAGTCCTACAGCCTGAAAGAGGACAGCTTATGGTAGGTGTGACTATTGCCAAGCATTCTGATTATCCTCATCACTGAACACCATAGATCAGCTTCTGTGACGGTATCGGGGATTGGGAAAGAGGTCTACAGGTCGGAAATTTTAGGGATAAAACCTGTGCTCACAGAAAGCATTCAAACATAAGACAGGACAAATAGAGTAGATTAAAAAGTTCACAAGAGGGCTGGAAGTATAGCTCAGAGCATTTGCCTAACATGAGAGGTAACACCCCCAGCACTACAAAATCAAATTCCTAAAGAAGTGATTCACACCAGCTACTAAACAGAGCCCTAGGCAGAGACGTCTGGGATTGCCTTCTGTGCTGCTGTGAATCTGAGTTTGAGACTTCCTTTCCCACCGAAGGCAAGCTGAATCTGGGCAGGAAGGTAACTCCCTGAACTTTTTGTGTTTGTCCTTCAGCCCTGGCCGCTCAGGCCTATGCTCTTAAAGAAGAGAATGACAGTCTCCGGTGGCAACTGGATGCCTACAGGAATGAGGTGGAGCTGCTGAAGCAGGAGAAAGAACAGCTCTTCCGAACAGAAGAGAACCTCACCAAGGACCAGCAGCTGCAGTTCCTGCAGCAAACCATGCAAGGCATGCAGCAGGTACTGGCCATGTGTTGTTGAGAGAGAAGGGAATATGTGCACTTCAGTGGGAGTGAAATGACATCAAGTGAAAAGGGTGAAGGAGAAAGAATGACCAAAAATCTAAGCCCATATCAAAGGAAAGCACTAATTGCTCTGGAAAGGCAGAATCTGGAGAAAAGTAAAGCTAATGAAATATGTTAAAGAAAATCTCCCTGAGGAGAGGAAATAAAGGGCAGGAATTTAGCAGGTTAAAAAGTGGTACATGTAAATGGGGTGTAGTGACACCTGCCTTTAATCCCAGTAGAGGAGACAGGGGCAAGTGGATCTGTGTGAGATCAAGGCCCCGGCCTGGCCTACATAGTGAGTTACAGCTGGGGCCACAAGGAGACCCTGTCTCAAAAAACAAACAAGCAAGCAAACAAACCTAGCGACAAAAAGTGCTACATGCAGTGTATGCAGTGTATGTAGCCCCTTAATTGTGCAATGTCAGCAGTTTCTTGCTGGCTGTACAAAATGTTTTATAATCAGAGAAGTTTTAAGTTCAAAGCATGACAACTGGTCTTTGCAATAACTGTCTGCTTTTGTTTTCAAGATCAGTATAAATGTAAGATGTAGTGTTTCTACTTCTAGATTATACTTATGGTGTAGTCAGGTTTAAGAATCGATTGTTAGGGCTGAGAGATTGCTGAGTTGATTAAGTGCTTACCATGCAGGCATGAAGACCTGAGTTCAGTTCCCAGAACCTATGGGAAAAAGCTGAGTGTGGTGGTACATTTACAATCCCAGTACTGAGGAGGCACAGATAGGTGTGTCCCTGGGGCAAAGCCAGCCAGACTAGCTTAATTGGCGGGCAAGATCCTGTCTCACAAAACATGGTGGATGGTGCCTAAGGAATAATACCATCTGGCCTTCACATGCTTACACACACACACACACACACACACACACACACAAAATGATTGTTGAAGGAATGGATGAGCCCGAGTTGGGCTACGTAGCTTTAGAAACAGAGAAGTTGCTGTGTTTTTGATGAAGAATGCCAGACTGCAACCTGGCATGCTCAATCCAAAGCTCTATTCTGTTGTATCTGTGTCCTCATTAGAAAGGAGGTGGCAGGTGTGAGTGGAGAGTTAGAAAAGGGAAGCCCTGCCATAGGAAGTCAGTTGGAGAGAGAGGAAAGCCCAAGAGAGGGCAGTTAGGGAAATAGAACCAAAACCTGGTAGATGGATTTGTGTCTGAAATCTCAGTTCATACGATACTCTTTGGGCATTGGGGGTCTTTGAGTTGACTTGGGAAAAATAGAGCATAAACAAGCACCATTATACAAGTGTCCTTCAATTACTCCCTTAAATATACATATTCAACCAATGTTTTCCTTTTTTGTAATTTTTTTATGTGTATGAATGTATTGCTGCATGTATGTATGTACATCCATGTAGTGCAATGGCCACCAAGGTCAGAAGAGGGTGTCAGATCCCCAGGAACTGTAGACAGTTGTAAGCTGTTATGTGGGTCCTGAGAGCCAAACCCAGGCCCTCTACAAGAGCATCCAGTGCTTTTAACTGCTGAGCCATCTCTCCAGCCCCTCAACCAATAGTTTCTGAAAAAAGTACTGCTTTTGTTTAAACCACAGAAAGATGTTAGGATGGTGGGAAAGTTACATGTAGAGTGAATAGGGAGCTTTCTGAATTTCCCACATTCATACTGGCTGCTTTCTTAGATCAGGGGCAGAAGTTGCCTACAAAACTGTTTTAGTGATTAGGAGGCACTACCATAGAAACATGAGCCAGACATGGAAAAATAGAGAAGGAAGGATATAAAAAAAAAATACAGACTGGAAAGTGAGCTAGTTAATGACCAGGTCATAGAAATTATGTCTGAAATATCTTTTGCCATTTTAAAACAATCTTTGAGTCTTGGCTCTGAGTCCTAACTGGTTGATGTTCACAGTGTGTGTTAGACTAATCAGTGAAATTCAGAGGTCAGAGCCAGCCGGGAAAATGTCACTGCAGTCATTGCTCAGGTCCCTGAACTTGGAAAGCAATGTAACAGCTGCTGTGTGTGGCTCCTAGGGTTGTCCATATGCCCCAACAAGGGTGTTGGGGTGGGGCTTGCCAACATGGTAATCTGTCCCTTTCCCCAAAGACTATATTGCCAGACGGCCTGCAATCTACTGTTATACCTCAGCCAACAAGGCCCTCTTTTCCTTCAGAAAAGATGTCTCTAATTTCTTTAAAAGTAGATAAAACCTTTAAGCCCATTGAAGTGTACAGGAGTGTGCTGCTCGGTCAGAGAGACACATGCTGAGGTTTCAGCGCTGAGACATGAGCCATGCATCTATTCCACAAAAGGCAGTGTTAGGAATCCTCAACCCTCTGAGGGAAGGATTGTATTGGTGGAGTTTCTCATTCATTTGCAGAATCTCCTTGTTGATAGGAAATGCACTTTAATACAAAGTTTTATTTGTTTTTGTAGTATGGTTTGATTTTAGTAACAGAAATATAGTTTCACATTTTGAGGGCTACCTGTTCAAGATTTAGATGTTAGCAAGGCTGGTTCCTCTAGAGCTGGGAGGTAGAGTCTGCTCTTCCCACTTGCTGCTAGATTGCAGTCAACTGGGGCCTTCCTTGGTTTGCAGACACATTTCCCTGTTCTGATTTCATTTTCACATGGCATTCCCTGTGTATATGCCCAGATGTCTGCTTTTCAGAAGAGCAAAGCTCATAGAACAGTAAGGGCTCAGCCTACTCCAGTGTGACCTCACTGTAGCTAATTGTGTTTGCAGTGACCCCTTTTCCAAATAACTGCACATTTTGTGGTACAGAGGGTTAGGACTTCAATATACAGATAAAGGGGATGGCATGGCAGAAGAATTTATAACAGATTCATGTTAATGAAAATATCTATTGAATAGGAGGAATGTACCAATGCCCAGGAGCAAAAAACTAGCTTGGTCCCTGTGGAGCTGTGGGCTCTATTGGATTCATGAATCATAATCTTTATGATAGTGCCAGGCAGAGAGTGATCAGAGCTGTCCAGCATACCATGCGTAGTGGTATACTTGGCACATAGAAGCACCCAGACCATGGCCTCTGCAATGGCTAAGTTTTACTGGTTGTTAGGCAGATGCATGACTACGCTGTGACAACACATACTTAAAATGTATGCGTCTTTTAAGACTCACGTTTCTATTGTATTCTGTTATATAAGAAGAAATTACCACAACTTGTTAATTTGACTCCTACCAAGAATCATCCTGACTTCAAAACCTACTTTCAATCTGTTGCTATCCTTCACTGTAACAGTACCTGAGATAAATCAACTTGAATCTTGGGCATTTTAGCCTATGAACTTGGAGGTTTCTGTGCAGGGTCTAATGGATCTGTTGTTTCTGGGCCTGGGCTAGATACAGCATCATGGTGGGGAGGGTGTGGTGAAACAGATCTGTGTACCTCTTAGAAGCAGAGAGAGGAGAGAATAGGAAGCCAGGGTCCCTGTGTCCCCTTCAAGGGCACACTCGCAGAGACCTAAGTCTTTCCACCCAGCCACTTCCTAAAGGTTCCACCACCTTCCAGTGTCAAGCCCAGCTTTCAGCATATCAGTCCTTTGAGGACATATAAAATCCAAATCATGACAACTCACATATGTGATCATTTCTATAATTAATCTCAATTTGAGAAAGTGTTTCTATAACCAAAAAAAAAAAAAAAAAACACCCATAAAGAGCCTTCAGTGGCCTTAAAAGTAGCAACATTTAGAATTGTCTTTAACTAGAAAGTTTCTAATTTTTCTTCCTTTAAGGTCTTACTGATACATTCTCTGACAGCACACCGTTCTCATGTGTTTGTGAAGAAAGCATTATGGAGCGAGGTTCCCAAAATTAAAAAGCCTTAGGGTGACTTCGTCTTGGTGTTTCTAAGTTTACCTCAACACTACGTGTGAATCAAAACTTAATGATATTGGAAGTTTCATACAGAAAAAAAATCATAGCTTGTAGCTATGGTAACATGGTACCCTTTACCACATCGTAAGACAGCAATTAAGTCAGTGTCTCTCTGTTTCGAGGTTTGGGAGGTTAGTGCCATTTTCTTTCACTTTCATTTGTATCTTTAGGTGTACAAATAAAGAACATTGTAAGCTCTTGTGTTTCTTTAGACTGCTGAGTTGGTTTATTAGATTCATCAAGGTAAAATTTGTGATTTTTAGGCATTCAGTTCTATGAATTTTTGACAAGCGCACACAGTCGTGTAAACCACCACTACCGCAGTCATATGCCAGTCAGTTCCATAGCCATTCCCTCGGGTCCCTTTACAGGCAACCTCACCTCTAGCAACCACTGAGCCAAATTCTACCTTTACGGTTTTGCCATTTCCAGAATTTTACAGCATGCAGCCTGTTGAGTCCAGCTGCTTTCATTTAACATGCATTTGAGTTTCTCTGTGTTACCGTGTTCGTAAATAACCTATTCCCTTTTGTGCTGGGTGGCATTCTATACTAAGGAAAAGTTACAAGTTGTTTATCTAGTCAGTGGTTCATAGATATCTCTCTTGCTTCCATTTTTGGACAAATATGGACAAATTTGCTCTAAATCTTCATTTGCAGGCCTTTTATTCAAACATAACTTCTCGTTTTCACCTGGATAAATACCTCCAAGCAGGATGGCTAGGTCATATGGAAAGCATGCTGAACTTTTAAAGAATCTTCCAGTATGTAGAGAGCATGTCCCTGGATAGATTCCTATATTAAACCTCACCCACCCAGGGATCATTGTAGAAGAGAGGGTGGAAAGATTGTAAGATCCACAGTTGGTGTGTGATCATAAAGAAACAGAGTCTTCCAGGCCTCTGGGAATTTGCTCATATGAACCTACGGCAAGGGTGACAGCATGCACAAGACCCATGCAAACTCAATTAGACAAAACCCAGCAGAGAACTGGGGAGATGGGTTGCAGGCCCAAACCTTATCCAAGGAACTATTGGCAGGAACTCAAGAATAGGAATCTGTAGGCAGGAACTGAA